CATAGCTGGAGAGCACGGTGCACGCGGTATTTATCAATTTAAATAAAGACAACTGGATATATATGAGGAACTGATGAGAAAAATGAGAAAAATGAGAAAAATGAGAAAAATTTTATATTTATATATATCAATTGATTACGTACCTACTCTATATATAGCTGCTGTTACTAACTTACTAGTACTAAAAAAAGGGTTAAGGCCATCTATCGTCCCTCTACTATCCAAAATAGTGCATTCTAAACCTTCTACTATGGATTGACTTCATGTCGTCCCTCTACTATCAATTAACTCTACCTGTCACCCCTCTACAATGCAAAAGCATGCACTTGTCGTCCCTCCATCCACTGTAAGGTACGGTACTCTTTATTGACTGTTAAATGTGACGATATTGACTGTTAAGTGTGAGATAACATCGGTTAAGCCTTTTTTAATATTTTTTTTCACCTTACCTTGTGGGACCCACCTTATCACATCATCTCTAACAGAACTTTTTTACCTTACCGTTGCCTCCCTAACATTTTTTTTTGAACATGCATGAGAAGTTGCCTCCCTAACATTTATTCGCGGTAACTATGGAATTTACAATTTTTAATTTTCAAATATGAAAATCCCATCATTTTGATAAGATAATGGATAAATAAAGATAATAATTTTATTATTAATCAGTTTAAAAATATAAACTTTTCAGATTTTTAAATTAAAAAGTAAATTTTTTTTTTCAAATGATAATATAAAATTTTACAATCTTTTTTACTTTTTTTTTAAAGATTTATTAGAGAATAATGATAACATAACAAATAATAATTTTAATCAAAAGAAGATAATATTTATGTATTTAAATTAAAAAAATGAAAATTTACTATTATATGCTTCAAAAATCAAGGAAATTTTAGGTAATGTCGTGAGATATTCATATGTATAATTTACTGACATATTCAGTAGGGATTATTTTTTTTTTGTTTAATTTAAAAATTCAAAAAATTTAAAAAGTAAAAGTTTACTATTTAATTTAAAAATTCAAAAAATTTATTTCAATAAAAAAATAATAAATTCATATTTTTATTCAACCCATTTCTATTCATTTGAGAATTCACCAAAATTTCAAATTTATCCGAATAGAACACCAGTCATTATTTGTGCGGATGCAAAATATTTCATTCAAAATCAATGGATTCCCTTATCATTCTTTGCAATTTTCTTTCTAAAAAAAAAAACACGAGGTTGACGATGCAAATAATTTCATTTAGAATCAATCAGAATACAAAGAAAGGGGAAACTGTCACAAAGAAATTGAAAAAAAAAAAAAAAACCCTACTGTATCTCTCTCAGTATCTCATCCTCATCATAACCATCAACATGATCCATACCATACTCTTTACCTGAATTCAAATCTATAGCCAAAGCCCCATTGTCATCGTCCTCTGAATCTGACTCAAAGCCAACCAGCCTAACACTTTCCCTGTGGGGTTCAAGTTTGACTTCAACCCCACCAACAGTGGAGGCAGCCCCGCTGGAAGCCAAACCT